CGGCCTAACGTGATGTAGCGCCTCGACTGGACACCGCCGAAGCTAATCGCCTTGGTTTTTGAAGGCAGAAACGCAAAAAAAACGTTCTCGCCGCATAAAAGGGATTGTAACGGCCGTGAATTTGGCTTCGATTCGAGTGGTGTGACAGCGCGTCGCACTTCCAAGCTCGGAGGTCACCCGCAATAATAGATACTGACGTGCAATACCTGGGTAAAGAGAAGGTTGAAATGTAGGACATCCTATGTGACCAATGACGCCGGTTTTCATACCGTCTAGCCTGACCTATCAAATCCCTCGAAATGATTGTTTTCTTTTCAAGACAGGCAAGTACTTGCATACTGTGTTAAGTAGTCGCGAACTGTAATCGACACAAGGGAGAATTATCCTCTACAGGAAACTATAGCGGCTATCACAGTTGTAAAATGTCTCTACACTAGGGTGGCTCGCATCGAAGCCTTCGGCATCTTTTTCGAGAAAGGAATTATTGTTGTATTCGAGTACAACTTTCGCGCCGCGAGGGCAGGATGGTGAAAGCACTATGAGCACGACAAGGGCGATGGACCTTAACCATACTGAGAAAGCGATCTTGCTACACAGTTTTGCGAACCCGCGGGTTTTCATTTGCATTTGTACAGAACATCCTCACCTTTTGTGTCCCCCTCCACTCTGGCTAAGACGTACGAAAAACAGGGGTCAGCTTAAGGACGGGAGACGATCCCATTGTGGAAAACGTCAAATTCTAGCAGATGCAGGCGACCAACTGAGAATGTTCTTCTGTACCTAATGGCGGTCGCTGTCAAAAAGACCCAGCCCTCAAAGAATCGAGTCTCTTTAAAAATAGTGTGTCTCACAGTCAAGGCTTTTCAGCTGTCGCTTTCCCGGATTACTTAGAAGCTGTGGTAAATTCTGCTCGATTTACATGCGCCGTGCAATTAAGTATAATACAAATAAGAGCGCATGATTATTCCAAAATAGAATCCAGTAAGCGGAGACTTGGACATACCACGATAACGTGCATTCTGCGACGAGACACGCAATAGTATCGGACTTTATTTCTGTCCTCAACTGGGTTCCGGGAACTTTGATAACGTAGAGCAATGTCTATCCTATACTAGATTCAAGCTATAATCTCATTCTTACCATGGCGTGAATGAAATAACATGACCTACGGGTCAATTGGAGGTAGGAAAAGGTTGGTGTCGCGCACTTCTCTTCTAGCTCATGACAAATTCACCTCAGTTAGGAGGCGGAAGAGCTCTTG